AATATTGTCATCAGACAAAGTTCAAGGTAAAAAAAGAAAAAAAAGAATTAAAAAACCATGCACACAAATCTCTAAGCAAAATAAAAACGTATTTTGCATAGATAAAAGCTTGCATCCTCAAATGAAGATGTATAGTGTCAACTATTAATTTAAAGGCACTTACATTACATTTTCATTATTAAGTAACAAAAATAAATTAACTAAGTCAATGTTTCCCAAATTTCAGTCATTTGTATAGCACCTTCACAATATACTTAAAGTTTTGTTTCATCTTATGTACATTTTATTTATATAAAAATGTAACATTATACTGCTGCTGGAGAAGGGAAATCAGGTTCATTGATAAATAGAAGGGAAAAATACAAATAAATTCTAAATTGTAGCTGAATTCTTCACCTGTGGATGAACTTTAGCCAAAGGCGTTCCCTCTCTTTTTACAAGAGATATTAGCAAGTGTTGGAGAAGTGTAAAATAAACATTTGCACATACACCTAAAAGACTCTTTCTTACAAAATAGAGATCGAAAATGGGATAATGGCCAATGTTACTTAATGTTGCATTCCTGGGCCATGTACAGGTGGCAATATTGGTTTATATCACACCCTTGCAGAAACTCTGAACTAGACTTAAGTCAGGAAGTTGTGGTGAAGAAAAGGAAATACAAAATAAACCAAAAGAAAATAGGAAGAAATTAATAATCAAAAAAGCACGTTCAAAATAACAAGGAAAAAAGGAGTTGACATATACTGAGCCATTATTTGATCTCTAGAAAACACAAATTGTCATGGGAAATGTGAAATGAAGTGGGCCCCTTCCCTGATAAACTCCTTGAAATGGCTACCTTTTCTCTACTTTGAGAAGTAGGCTCACCAGAAGTCACAGGAAATTAATAAGGTGAGAAAGATGGGTCCAAGAGGGCTAGAGCAACTAGTTGCAACTTTTTAAAAATCAATTTTATAAGTTCTATAAAGCCAGTGTGCAATATCCCCAGAAATTAAGAGGAACAGCAAACAAGGTAGCGCTGGCTCATTGGGCTTAGTGACACAGTGTGCCAACCCAGTAAAAGGCAACCAAATACCCCTGGGATAAATTGTAAACAGGGTTCCAGTGAGCAGGGAGCTACACATATGACTCCTTATATAAAGAATAAATGTAAATTGGTCTTGCTCTTCCTGAAGTAGGCAGAGACTTTGAATGGAAATGAAAATGAAGAATAAATGTAAAGTACTCCTCTCTTAGTAACATAGTACAACTATAACCACATTAGCAACCTTAAGTCTAGCCTGAATTTAAACCTAAGCAAGTCCCCTGAGTGTGGCAGTCAAAATCAGCTGAAATTCTGAAAATGGGACATAATGCTATGAATGTTGAACAAAAAGATTTAATTTATAATCTAAGTTTTATACCATTTAATATGCTGTTGCAGAAAGCTAAGAAAGAATACTGAAGAAAAGAACAAGAGCTAAAAAATATAGGAAGAGAAGGTTGCTAAAGTCTTCTGGGAAAGTTCTTTCTTATTTTTTGGGGACTGCTTCTGGAGAGACCCTCTTTCACTGAAAGTTATTACATGCAGATTCAAGGTTTGGAATTGCTGTAGCCATCTTGTCAAAATCTGAAGATGAAGCCTACACAAAGAAAAGGGCAGAATGAAGATAACATAAGAGAGATAAAACTACAACAGTGAGATCATCTAGTCTGGAAACTGTTCTATCTGTGGATTTGTAACCAAGCAGGACCCTATGTGACCTTCCTGGGACAGAAGTGCTACCAATGTTCTCCACCTGCCTCTTGTTTTAGAAAAGCTTTAGTGTCCCAGGTTCCCCTGAGTTGCAAAAGTCTGGCTCAAGAATTAATGATTGAAAGAATGTGAACATGTAGTAACAAAAAATAGTAGTTGAGCCAGGAGAACTGGTGACAATTTGAACAATAAATCAGGCATATAGCAGAATCTTTAGTTCTTCTCTGAAGGGTATAGATAGCAGTATCTGATGCACATTCCTGAGTTGTTTTACAGATACTAAAACCACCACCAGATGGAAGAAGCTAATGGCATGATGACCATGAGCATGTACTCCAAGACATGCTGGAGCCTAAGGATTGATAATGTTAATCCCTGTGACACCACCCTGTTACCTCACCATCAATCAATCAGGGAATTGTGCATGAGCTGATCATGCACAATTCTCTGTGACTCCTCTCCCTCATCTCCCCTTTAAAACCCCTTTCCTGAAACCCATCAGGGAGTTCGGGGGTTTTGAGCATTAGCTGCCCATACTCCTTGCTTGCTTGGTGCCTGCAATAAATGCTGCACTTACCTTCACCACAACCTGTTGTCAGTAGATTGGCTTTACTGTGCACAGGCAAGCAGACACAAGTCCAGTTGGGTAACAGTTTTAGTTATGTGAGTCCATCTGGGCTGGATATCCAAGACAGCTCACTCACATGGCTGAGAATTGATGCTGGGTGCCAGCTGTGAGCTCAGCTAAGCTGTTGACCAGAATGCCTGCCTGTGGCCTCTGCAGGACAACTGTCTTAGGGCAGTCAAACTTTTTACATGGTGGCTGACTTAGCACAGGGTAAGTGTCTCAAAAGACTCATGGGGAAGTAGCACAGCCTTTTCTGACCTATCTTCAGCAGCACTCAGATTCTATTTGTTATCAGTGAGTCATAAGACCAGCCTAAATTAAAGGGGAAGATACTATTTAGACTCACCTGTGAAAAAGTCACACTGTGGAAAAGCAGATGGGATGGGAGATATTGCTGTTGGAAAATAAATTTTGCCACACCCATTTATTTATTTTTTTAAATTATTTTTAATCATTCTGCACTGCCAAGCTCCATTTCCTGAGAAATATTAATAATGATACAAAAAAAATCCCACTATGTGCCTGCAAAATAGTTAAGATTGTGGGTTAGTTGGATGATACTGGGCATCAATTTTCTCTTCTATAAATAGGAATAATAATAGGACCTACCTCATAGGGTTGTTCTCAGTGTTAAAAGAATTAATACATATAAGTGCTAGAAAATTTTCTAGATCATAACATGTATCAATAGGTGATTGTTAAAAGGGATTAAAATAGCCCATTTATAAAACATCTGTCAGTTAACATTTTAAGTTAAAATGTATGGTGGAAATAGAAGATACACTCAAAATAAAATGAAACAGAATTATCTAAAATAAAATGAGAAACATACATCAGGCAAATAACCACTATAAAACTGGCATAGAAAACAATATTTGAAAGAATTTAAAATAACAAGTAACAGAAATAAAGAGTGATGTTCCCAATGAAGAGAGACTACCTATAAAGAAATCATTGGAGCATTGTGTATAACAGCAAAAAATTACCCTTCATTAAAAACTGTATAAATAAAAAGTTTTACATTCATTCAATGAAATACTGTTAAGTTAAAAGATTATTAAGAAAATGTCATAAATAAAATGTGCTAAATTCATGTGATGGAATACTATTAAGTAAAAACATCATGGCTAGATGTTAAAAACAGAATCCGGTTATAGAACAGTAAAATGTAAATTTTTAAAAACCGTTGTTTGCACACCAATATGCAAACCAAAAAATACACTGGTGAATATTATATCAAAACAATGACAGTTTCTGGGAAGATGGGGAAGAAAATGCCACTCCATTATTAGTAATTTATTTTATTTTACAAAGGGTATGAAGCAAATATATCAAAATGCTAGCATTTCCTAGGAAATGAGAGTAATTATTAGTAAGTGCTTGTTTCTGTAATTTTCTGTCAAACCGATGACAACGCTAACAATACTACCTTCACACTAAACTTTGGTGTGCTGTCTTCTTATTCAGTGTTGTCTGTCTTTTAATGGTGGAAAGCATAACCATATGGGATGGACGGTTCATTGTTTTCTAAAACCATTCCACTGTCTTTTACTCTGAATTTTTTTTATTCTGACCTTCTAACTTCTAAATAAATCTTGGTTTGTTTGACAGAGGAAGGAGATACTGAGATACAAAGAGGTGAGGGGGGTGGTTCTGGAATGTTTAAATGGTAGTTCAACTATTATGCTCTTTCATTTAAATTTTCAAATTTTAAATATATACGAGTCAAGTTCGTAAGCCACAAAATAACAAACAGTGTTACCTAGAGGTTTTACAGAGACTAACTCTAAGAAGCTTGGCTCTGCAGGTCCTGGACTTTTGACTTCTGGACATCATCCGATGGTTCTCTTTCTTGATTAACTGTCATCTGGTTCCAAACAGTTCAAAGAAGAAACGAGAGAAAAAATTGTGATTCCTATGCAATTTTATATCTGTTCCTGCTTTCCTATCATCATCTATAAAAACAACATGCCTTTAATCTGAAAACGTGTTATCAATGCAAAAAACTTGGAGAACCTGTACGCAAAAAATTAAAATTCCGAAATCACCTATGATTATGGACATTTTCCCCATTACATTTAAAAAAAGAGTTCTTAGAGTACCTACTAAGAAGAGAAAGGAAACTGTACAGACCTCAAAACAACAAGTTAAACGAACTGAGTAATTAGTGTTGGCTTTTTATGGATAATTATGATTTCATTCTCTATACTTTGTTTTCTAAAATTTCTGTACTTAAGAGGTAATCTGGAACAGATGAAAAAAGAGCAAATAGAACATGTAACGTTTACATGGTAGATAAATGAATAAGTAAATTCTCCTCTCTAGGCTACGCCACCAACCAAATACTGACTCATTAGCTAATACCTCTCTGTTAGGCACAGTAACACAGTAAAACCAAACCAAACCAAATAAACACTGGTTCAAGGACACCACGAACCCCCTTTCCCATCATTCGTTTCCCAGGAATCCCAGGGCTCTACAGTGAGGAAGTTAAGCCCGCCCCTCACGCTTCACTGGCCATTGGCCACTGGTCCCGCCCCACAAGCTCGTCTTTGAAGCCGTTGATTGGATATGAGTGAGGACCGTGGAGGGGACTGGTACTGACAGCCAGTGCGGAGGCGTGGCCATATCCCCCGGAAGTTCTACCCGGGCCGCCGCGCTATGGATCGCGCGCTACGGCTCCTCGCGCGTTCGCGTTTCCTCTCGCGCGCTCCAGCTTCCGACCCCCGCCCTGGCCCCGGCCCGGGTGGCGCGGCACTCCTGCTGCTTCGGCCTCCGAACGTCGTTCGAATGGTGAGCTCGTGCCGCCCAACCGCCGTGGCCGCCCCGCGGTGACCTTCAGGCCTCCCGCCTGCCGGCCCTAAGGTCCCGATACTCGGCTGCGTCTTGGAACTTCGCTGCCGGCCCGGGGCGCCTCCTCCGCCGGGGGAGCGCCCGGGAGGGGCGGCAGCTGTTGGCGAGATCCCTGTCGGGCTTCCCCGACCCCGCCCCAGCCGCGCTCACTGCTTTGCCCCTGCCCGCGGCGGCTGACCTCGGAACGGTGCTGGGGTGGACGGTGTGAAGAGGGGGCGGCGCCGGAATGGGACGGTGTCCGGAGGGAGCTGCTCCGCTTCTGCCTTTGATGGGCCGAGCTGGATCCAGCCCCTCTGAGCTACCTTCTGGGGTCACAGCTCTGCAGGGAACTGTTCTTAGGCCTCCAGGAGGGTTGAAAGTTCTTGTGAACCTAAGAGATTTTACTTTTCATGAAATTGACCATTTAGTTTGTTAGGCTGGTTTTCCCCACTTAACTTTTGTATAAACCCTGAAATGTGAAACAGGGGCAGAGTGTCCTGAAGTACGTTGGAGGAAATTGCATGGACCATAACATAACTACAGCTGAATCAGCACTTTTTATTGAGAAAAACCTGCAAGGAACTTAAAGGTCCAATTTCAGGTTATGACACCCTGACTTACATGAGCCCTTTTGCGCTTTAGAGTGTCACCTTAGGTAATTTGGGCTTCAACAAGCATTAAATACGTATGCTCACATCTGTATTATCAGGAAAAGTTTGAGAAATAAATGCTAGTTTAGGAAGACTTACATTCTGCACTCTTCACTGCTGTATGAGCTTTCATTGAGAGAGATGTGACTTCAGACCCTAGTCTGCTACTCAGAGTTGGGATTTGGAGCAGGTAATATTTGTCCTCAGTGTCTGCCGGTAAAATGAAAATAATTACAAATACTCGTCAAGATTGCCCCTGTGAAAGTACTTTGAGTTTGGGATATGGTGAGTGCTTATTAAATGAATGCTTCCATCTAAGGTATTTCAAAGGCCCAAGACATTTTTCTGGGCTATAAACTGTAAGATAATTTGATGACATTACTGTACTTGAAACTGCGAAATCAGGGGTGCTTTATATTTCTGCAACTCCCTGCTTGAATTATTTGGTGCACTTTAGAGCCTTTTAAAAATTTGTTTTTCACTTGTTTAGTGTTTTGTAAAAGGGAATAGAAGGCTGGAGAACTGACTCTATCCCGCTGTCAATGTCAAAAACATAGCATTGCGTTGCTTTTAATGTTGTAATGTTAGCTAACATCAGATGCGGATAGATTTTTCTTTATATATAATCCTAAATACATCTTTTGCCCTCTAATCTTCTCAGCTCCAAAATCTCTAAGTTGATTTTATTAAAAGTTTTTCTTGTTGCTAGTGTTAAGAAATAAACTATATTCAATATCCTGTGACAAACCATAATGTAGAACAATATGAAAAAGAATATATATGTATAACTGAGTCACTTTGCTGTATAGAAGAAATTAACACAATATTATAAATCAACTATACTTCAATAAAATTTTTTTAACAAAACAAAGAAATTCACATAACCCTAAATGCCCTGTTACCTTTTATCTCAATTAAGAACACAAAGAAGTTCATCCAACAGGAAGATTACATTGAATGCTCCCTGTGTGTAAAACAGTCACTATGGGCACAGAGTTTAGAGACTACTGAGGCATATTAAATAAGCAAAGAAGTCATGCACAGTTAATAACACTGTGGTACTGAGGAGAAAAAGTACAGTGAGAGTGAGAATATATAATGGAGACCTGCTGTGAAACTGCCTTGGTAGCATGGTGGACAAGGAAGTCCTACATTTTTTAAAGTTACTTTATTTTATGATCTTCAGGATGGTTATAAAGTCTGGAAACATAGATAATATTCTGTGTTACAATGCAATATCAATAAACCATTTATTACATATTTGTCAGTATTTCAAGACTTAGTGGTCACCCTATATTTTAAGAACAGAAAGACTTTTTAAAAAGTCTGTTTAAAGAAACTGAAAGCCCAAACACAATGAAGTCAAATTTTGGATTTTTATCTCTTGAGATAGTCTTTTTGCCTAGGAAATGATTTGGATTTTCTTGAACACTGAAATATTCTTTTAGACCACCTTAGGATAAGAATCTGAAAGGCATTTTATATTTTCTTTAGGAGATACCATGGTTTAGTTAATGGTTATCTTACACATGCGTGGGAATATACTATAGGCCTGAGGCCTATATTTTTTTGGCTGGCCTTTCTGATTTAGACTGGCATGCAAATTTGGAGACCACCTCATCAATTCCTGAGGTTACCGGAATTAGTAGTTGGTAATAGCACTTGGTATTTCTAGGGCTAAATAGCAATCATACTACGGTGAACACTGGACACATTAGTCATTCATGCTTCTCCAGGAGGGGAAGTGATTGTGAATAAACATGCATCTCCCAGGACATCAGGAAATTGCACATTTGTGCCTGCCCCATGCCTAGCTGGTTAACTCTTTAAACTTCTCCCAGAAATTCTGCTCTCTAAATTACAGGTTATAAAGACATGGTTTTCAAAAAAACTAGTTTTTTGTGACAATGGATTATATTATATGAATTAAAAACATATTTAATAGATACCATCATGACATCATTTTTCATCAAAAGCACTGATAATTTTCCCATTAATTTAGGTGAGCAGCCCTCCTCTTCTTGCCCAAGCCACTGGGAAGAGGTGACATACATTATAATGTGGGAAGGTTTTGAAAATCATACATATGTTTTTCAGACTTCAGGTGGACTCATTAGTGGGTGGAGAAATCAATGTAGTGGGCAATTAACAGCATTGGTTTTTTGACAGGATAGCATAGAATAGAAAATAGGCTTACAGGACAGATTTTTTCACAGAATTTTTGTTTCAGGTTTGTGTGCATATACATGTGTGTTTATGTACAATATAAAGGTTTTTTCTTCTGTAGGTCATTGGGAAGAACGTTTGAAGAGATTTGGCAGTTACCTGTTTCATTGTTCCTCTATCTGTGTATATGTGCTTGTCTAACAGACACCAACCATAGGCATTACCTCCACTGACAGAGCCTGGAGCCTTTGAGAGTATTTTACAGCATTGCTTCAGTTTCTGATCTACAAATTTGTGCAACCTATGTATTTCCTGGGTTAGAAAAAGGGAGAACTTTCTGGTTTTTTGGAATACTTTATTAGCTAGCTAAGCTGCTACAATGTTTGTTGTTGGAAATTTGGGATGTTTATTTTTATTACTGTAAGGACAAGAAGTATATTTTTTGAAGTGTTTACTGAGATTGTGATTTCAGCCACAATTGACATCTGCCATTTTTTAATGGTCAGTGTCAAGATCTAGAATTTGATGTAGACCGTTGTTTCTTGAGTTAGAATTTAAATTTTTCTAGAGTTTAAACTTGAAGAACATAGATAAAATTTATTCATTTAAATCTTTCCAAAATACTTTGGATATGAGTTTTATCATAGCAACCTGTTATTTAGGTGACAACATTATTCCTGTTTTATGATGAAAATTTAATAATTTTGAACACAAAAAATGATGTTTTAAATTTAAGGAATCGAACTTGATTTCACAAATGACTGATGGAAACCAATCTCCTTTCTTTGGAGCCAGTAACTATTTGCTGTCTAATAACAAGGTGATGGAGAGGAATAAGAACCTAGCTCATGTGTCCAGTGCCACTGTTGTCATTGCTAATGTTATTGCACCAAAGTATATTTTAACATACAAGGATATTTACTTAGGATATTTAAAACAAAGATCATTATGCAAAAATTTTTTGTGCATTTGAGATATAAAACCCCAGCTGCAAGTTGGCATACAGTGGTGTCAGTGTAAGCACACTCTATTAGAGAAAAATCTAACTGTACATCTTCAGATCCTACAGGGTAGTGGTTGTTGTGGGCCAATCTGGAGTTACTTCCTCCATTTCTTGGTTTATGGAAGTGATAAAAAAGGGAATCCAAACAGCTTTTAGAATACGAAAGTCCAGGGTTTGAGTGTTTCAGGCCCTCCCTCTTGCTATCTGGGTGATCTGCTGAGATTATTTAATCTTGTGTAGCCTCAGTGTCTCCTTCTTTAACATGGGGATGACGATATTAAAATCTCCTAGGGTGGTTGTGAAATTCAAATAAGGTGATACCTAAAAAGTGTTTGCTACATAGCACAGTAAATGATTATTTTTATTGGCTTCTCCTTATTGGCTTAGACCAGTCCTTTGCAGACTTTTTTTTTTCCATTTTTATTGAAATGTAATTGACATACAGCACTGTATAAGCTTAAGGTGTACAGCATAATTTGACTCACGTACATCATGAAATGATTGACACAATAAGTTTAGTAAACATGCATGATATCATATAGAGAATTAAAGAAATAGAACAGATTTTTTCTTTGTGATGAGAACTCCTAGGATTTACTCTTTTAACAACTTTCATATATAACATACAGCAGTGATAATTATATTTATAATGTTGTACATTACATCCCTAGTACTTATTTATCTTGTAACTGGGAGTCTGTAACTCTTGACTGCCTTCATCCAATTCTGCCTAACCCCACCCTCTGCTTCTGGTAACCACAAATCTGATCTCTTTTTCTATGAGTTTGTTTGTTTGCTTGTTTGTTTTTGAAGTATAATTGACCTACAACACTATGTTAATTCCTGTTAAACAACATAGTGATTTTTTAAAGTTATTTATTTATTTTATTGAAGTATAGTTGGTGTACAATATTATATAAATTACAGGTGTACAGTATAGTGACTCACAATTTTTTAAGGTTATGCTCTATTTGTAGTTATTATAAAATATTGGCTATGTTCCCTGTTTTGTAAAATATAGCCTTGTACCTTATTTTACATATAATCGTTTGTACCTCTTAATTCCCTACCCCTGTACTGCCCCTTCCCTCTCCCCACTGGTAACTACTAGTTTGTTCTCTATATCTGTGAGTCTCCTTTTC